CCGCCCAGCGCCGCGTCGGATGACGAGAGCGACATCGAGGACAAGCGCGAGCGGAAGGCCGCCAGAAAGCAGCGCCGGTCGCACGACACCAAGAAGCACAAGCAGACCACGCCCACCGGTACTAAGCACTCGATTACGGTCACCTCCAGCAGCAAGCGACCGCTCCGCACCAGCAGCCGCGACGACGTGTCGCTCCAGCGTCGACGCAACAGCGAAACCAGCAACAGCTCCGACTCAGAGGGAACGACACCGAAGAGCCGCGGGCGCAGGTCTGAATCCCAGACGTCCGACTCCGAGTCGGAATCGACGTCGTCGGATGGCGAACGCGGTCACCGACGGGCGCGCCGACGCAAGGGCACGCACAGCGCGCAGGCCGAGTCTCGGTCGAGGTCCGCCTCGCGCGGCAGCTCGCAGGAGCGCAAGGGCGACAACACCATCCGACGACCACCCTCGCGTCAGTCGCGCTTGGCCTCTTCTTCCGGTTCCAGCGAAGGTGACACTCAACACTCAACGCAACACGACCGCACACACGACACACATGGCGCACGACGCGGTGTATCTCATGCGTGATGTGTTGTGTGGTGAGCAGGAACTCCCGACACGGGGCTAACGTCGCCCAAGGGCGAGGAGATCGGTCGAATGCATAAGGAGATCGAGACGCTGAAGAACCTCACTAAGATCCTCGAGGAGAAGCTCGAGATCCTCGAGCACATACCCGACGACGCCCCGGACAGCGGCTCGGCCTACTCTGCGCATCTCTCGCCGTCGGGCCACCACGGCACCCACGGCCGCAAGTCGCTCACCGGCAGCACCGCCAGCGGTGGCAGCAACAAGCTGTCCGACTCAAGCGACGGCGGCGAGTCGTCGCGCAAGAAGATAAAGCCACGCCACGCCGCCTCCACGCCGCTGCCCTGTACGCTCTCTCTTTCAATGGCTGCGCGCGCGCGCGTGGTCGCTGACTCGACAATGAAAACATTTCAGCGAGCAAACGCGGCGATTATGCAGGGCACGCGGGCGGCGAGGTGAGCCGCTCGACGGCCGACTTCACCAAGCACGGCCGCACGCAGATGGAGAAGGCCGCGAAGCGACAACGCCGCGCTGCCCACCGCAAGCACATCCGTAGCCAGGGCGGAAGCGACAGCGACGCGACTAACGAGAACGGCGGCGACAGCAGCAGCGGGACCGACGACGAGGCCTCGTCGTCGGTGAGTGGCGAGTCGCGAAAGCTGCGCAAATCGATCTCGCTGACGGAACTCAGAGGCATGCCCAGCCAGCAGCGCAGCGGCGGCGGCGAGAGCGAGGTGGGCAAGATCAAGAAGGAGCGCGACCACGAGAACAAGCTCATGAACCAGCGCGCGGTGCGGGAACGAGCTCGCGGCCAGCGCGAGCACGAGCGACAGCGGGTGGGCGGCGGGTCGGTGCCCTACGTGTCCCCGTTCGGCAACTCACCCACGACCAAGTCGCTCGAGTACTGCTACTCGTGTCTCATGAAGACCGACATCTCGTCCGACGGCGACCGCAAGCTGTGGAAGCGACGCGTGCTCGGCTTTGGCTCAAATGGTACTCACTGCTTTCTTTCGTGTGTCGTGTGTCGTGTGTCGTGTGTCGTGTGTCGTGTGTCGTGTCGTTTGCTGATCGCACACGAAACACACAGGAATGAATTTGATCAAGCCGTACACGGAGAAGGTGGAGCAGGTGTGGGCGTGGCCCACCATCCAGCAGTGGATCATCAACGACGAGCAGAACCTGATCAAGTTCATGATCGAGGAGGACGCCAAGCACCACCACCACAGCCGCAGCAGCGACTCAGAGCACTCGTCGAGCGACAGCGAGCAGGACGACGCCGCTGCCGCCGCCGGTGGTGCCGCCGGCGCCAAGAGCAAGATCGCGATCTACACGTTCCGCGTAGACGACGTCAACAAGGTCAACGACGCGCTGTGGAAGGTGGTCAAGCGGGTGCAGAAGAAGCGGCGCGGGTTGGAGCGCCTGGGCGGCGGCAGCGGCACGCGGAGCCGATCGTCGACGCAGAGCAGCGCGCGCAACAGCGACAACGAAAGCGACAGCGACGCGGGGTCGGCGGACGACGATCATCATCATCATCACGACCACCACAAGGACGGGCACCATCATCATCACTTCAAGGAGTCGATGACGTCGCTGTTCAAGGCCCTCACGCACTCGCTCAGCGGCCACGGGCACGGCCACGGCAAGGAGAAGGAGAGGGAGCATCGAGACAAGGAGCACCGGGACAAAGACAACAAGGAGCGAAAATGAACGAACACCAGTCGCCGCACACGCGCGTGTGTGCGGTCGCACGACACACACGCGGCGTTACGGTGAACAAAAATGAAAATGAAATTGGAAAATGGAGGAGAAATGGGCGTACTGTGGTCGCGCCAGCGGGGGCAGTGTGCAGAGATCATCAACACCAGAGAAGAGTCGACCCCTTGCAGAGAAGCTTGGCAAGTGCAAGGCGCAGAAAAGCAACCACTCCATCTGTGCACTACCACTCTATCTTTTGGTACCGCCCGACATTTGGCCCCACTTCTTCTTCCATCGATTGTGAGGTAGATTCATAATCTCAGTCCTTTTTCTTCTCCTTCTCCTTCACCTTCTTCTTTTTCTTGCTCTTGCTGCTCTTGTTTCCTCAGTTGAGCGATTCAAGTGATTTCAATCCACTTCGTTCCAAATCACGCTCTTCACTCTTTTCCTCATCTCTTCGCTCTTTCCATTAATATTAAATTCGTGAGATTTTTCATCTTCGTTCTTGCCCATGGAACTGCCATTGTCAACTCGCGTTGCGTGTGCCGTGCCGTG